GGCAAATATTTAAATGTGCAATTAAATATAAATATGCAAAGTATTTTTGTATTTTATTTTATGTATGTAAAATGAATTATTTAATGTATCAAAAAATAAGAAAAATATTAATGATTATTTTTATTAAGGGTGGAAACCCTAATTTGTTTTAAGAAAATATATATATTATTATTTATTTATGTACTAGAAAATAAATAAAATGTATATAAAAGTGTTAAAAAATTAAAATGTGTGAAAAAATATTATTTAAGTGTAAAAGTAATAAAAATAAAAATATATAATATTTTTTGTATTATTTATGAATTTATTTTAAGAAAATAAAAGTATATATTATTTAATAATTATTTCTATGTCCAAAAAATAATAAAAATAATAAAATAAAATGTGAAAATTTAAGAAAATATTTTTGGTGATTTTTTATTTTTAGGAAAAATAATAAAAGTCAGAAATGAAAATAGAAATGGAAAATATAAAAATAAAATAAAATCAATGGGCCAAGGGGGTGCATGAAGTAGGATGGAGGGTGCAAATAGCCAGCCAGAGCCAGGCCCAGCCTAACTCACTTCATCTCTAACCTCTGAACAAGAAAATGCGCGCCAATGGTTCAAATATGTATCTCCTGCATTTGTGCTTAAAAACAAAAACTTGCAACATGAAAGTTATAGCTCTTGATCACACGATTCTAACCATGTAAAAAACTTAATCTAACTCTCAAAGACCAGAGAGAATTTCTTTGGCCCAAAATCTTGACCTAGTTTTTTCAGAAAGTTCAACTATCAAATACTCCTAGCTGAGTTAACATAAATGAATTCTATGCATATGTACAACTTAAGGGCAATGAGGACTACATTTTTTCTTCACAAACCTAAGCCTAATGATTCCTAAATAAGGAGATAGAAGTTTGAATTTTACCTGTTTCAGTCAAGCTCGAGTATGGAAATGCAGCAACTTTCAGTGAGGCCTGGGGTTCTTTTGAGCTTGCTTGATGTTCCCTTGATCTTTCCCAATGCTTATCTTGCTTTGAAATGGCCTGAATGTCTCTATAGAACTTAACCTGCAAGCTCAGAATTTGAAAATGGTGAAGTGTGTAAATGGAGTTACAATGGCTTGGGAATGGTTGGGATAGTTTAGGTATGTTGTATGGAGTGTGTTGGAACTGGTTGCAAGCAAAACGCACGAGTGGATTTTGTTTTGGAAGTGAAACTGTAGAACCTGCCCTGTTTTGACAAGAACTTGGATTTTGGTGTTTTTGAGGGTTTGAGAACTTGCTAGCTCGTGTTTCTGGCTTGGTGTAATGTGTAAAACTTGTTTGAAATGAATACAACACTTGCTCTTATCAGATTCAAGAGTTTGTTGACCTTTTGCATAATTGCTTGGTTTTGAAGTAAAAGGTGATTTTGACAATGCTATGGCCTGTACAGGCTAGCTCCAAGCATGCACATAGTTGGTGTACTTTGCCTGATATTAGGGAACTTTGTTTGCAGCAAAAGGCTTGGTCCAATGCTTAAGAGAAACAAATTTGCAAAAGGTGTGCTTTATGTAAATGGCATTGTTAACTTTTTGCCAAAAATAGATTAATTCAATGTGTAATCTTCTAAAGCTCACAACAAAGCCTTAATCTAATGTGTTTTCATTCAACTTTTGAGTGTGTAAGGGTTTAAGGACCTGTAAACCAAGTACAAGCATGGTTGGACAGAATTTGCAACTTGTAGCATGGTGTAAAATGCCTTGGCCAAAAGTGATGATTTCCCATTTTCAAACCTTCGATTCTCCCTAACCACAAATGATTTTGGAGAGTTCTTGGACATTTTGGAAATCTTGTAACATGATCTACAATCCATCTTTGAAATGAATTTTTAGATTCTACTTGGAAATATGTGAAATATTTCCATGAAGATAGGTCAAAATCCTGCCTAAACTAGGGCACTAAGTTAAAAGTTTCATGGACCCTTATTCACAAAATCATAACTTGAGATCCAAGAATCTTTTGGGAAAACTTTATGAATAAAAGTTGTAGATTTTGTGGAGTAATACAACTTTCATGTTGGAAGTTTTCTTTAAATTCAATTGCATCATGGTGAAAAAGTTGGGAAAAAATAAGAAATTTTCATAACTTAGAAATTTTCTAAGTTATGAAAATTTTTCATTTTAAACCCTAATTTTCAAAATTAGGTTTCTTGGTGAACAAGTTTCATGTTTTGGCAAATCTTGATGAAAAATGACCCTTGGCACTTGATTTTGACCAAAAAGTCAAAGTTTGACTTTTTAGTATACAGTTGATTTTTGATCAGTTGACTGGAAAATTCATTTGTCAATCCAATGCAAATGAGATCTTTTGAACCTTGTGATTAGGTCAAGATGATTCCATTGAGTCCTTAAATCCATGCTTGAACCCAATTTGCCATTGGCTAGGTGAAAAATCAGAAATTGCCCTTCTGCAGTCAAAACCCTAAAAATGACCATTTTACCCTTTTGATGATCTGATCAACTTTCTTGAGGAGTTGTGGTCCATACTTGATCAAATGGTTCATATGAGTCTATAATGTTGATGTGGATCAAAAATTATGAGGTTTGACTATAAATTGGCCACAGTTGACTTTTTCCCCAACACAACTGATTTTTAGGTCAACTGTCCAATTGATTGGGCAAAAATTTGATTCAAGGCTTAAAACTTGGTATGAGAAATCTTAGGAGTCCAAAATGAAGTATGAAAGTCACATGGGGCATTAGAAGTCCAAAATTCCTTGTGCAAACTCAAATCCTAATTTCAGGTCAACAGTGCAAGGAGATGTCTTGAGCTGAGCAAACCCTAATTTGGTCTTGAGTCCAAAGAGTCTTGTGAGGGGAAATCTTGATAAAATGAGAGAGAAAATTTTGGGGTACAACACCATCAAACGTTTTTTATCCCACAAGAGGGGAAAGGTAAACATCGAGTAAACCTGAGAAGGGTGAAATCAAGGTCGAACGACCAAGAGGTAAGGGTAAGGGAGTCTGTTACGCGAGGGGAAGGTATTAGCATCCCACACGCCCGTAGTACTCTACAGTATACACTCTTGTTGTTCTAATCAAAGGGTGTGATTCAAATCTATATCTAAGCTGTACAGGAAATGCATGCAAAATAAAAGAGAAAAGAATGTAGGGAAAATGAAAAGTTGTGCTCGCTCGGGCCCTACCCCAATGCCTACGTATCCCTTTTAAGGAATCAGAGCAGCCGTAGTTCGGCTAACAAGTTTTTGTTGGTTTGTATATTTTTTTTTAATGAACAATATTAATTTCGCCTTCTGCCGCAACTCGACCTTTGGAGACTTACGCGTCAGCACAGAAGTGGATTAACATGTTCTTTCTAAAAAGTTAGAAAGAAAATCCCGAAGGCGCAAAAGAGTTTGCATTGGTTGATATTTTTTACCTTTAAGAAGGATTGGAAGTTGTTAGATGTTTTAATATTTTTCAAAGAAAAAAAGGAAGTTTTTATTTTAATGCATGGATGCAAAAGAAAGAAAAACATCTAAGGGAGATTAGTCTAAATCTATCCCTAATGTTATCATACAATGATGGTCCTATGGTTGAGTTTTGAAGGGAAATCTCTACCCTAAGTTGACATGATTGGATAAAAATCCTAATGTCTATCTCAAATCATCATCTATAGATGAATCAAGAAGTCCTAAAGGAGCATAGCAAAGGTCTATCACCTAAAACTATGTCTATCTTGAATCATCATTTATAGTTGAATTGAGAGCTCCTAAGGGAACATGCAGAGGGTATATTCATCTCAAAACATGTACACAAAGATGAAATCAAACAGGTAAGCCAATAAGCTCAAGAGAGTTAGCTCAAGCGAGCACAACTAGAGAGAATCTATCTAGGCTACCATTGCCTAAGAAAGTCTAACAAAACTATCTTATAGGGAACATGTAATGAGAGCAAAGTCGTGATCTCAATTTCTAAATTGAGTGACTCATCGATCAACAAAAAAAATAAAGGAAAGCAATGAAATCCTATAGGGAGCATGCACTGAGAGCGAAGTCGTGATCTCAATTTCTAAATTGAGTGACTCATCGATCAACAAGAAAGTAAACAAACACAAGCACAACACATATACCAAATGAAGTGCGGAGTGCCTTCTACAGGTCTTTAAACAACGACTTCGAGCGCACGCTCTTTATTTCCTAATTCTCATGATATCTAGAAAGCAGTAAAGTGCTGAAATGAGATAAACAAGAGAAAATACTAAACATATATCAATCCGTAGCAAAGCCTATCAAAACAAAGAAACCCTACGATCTTTGCGAAAAGCTTCACCAATCAAATAAAAGAATCAGAAATCAAATGCTCGGAATAAATGTCGATGCATCATCGATGTGAAAATAAATCACAATCAAAATCTCAAGCGCATTTTCATATCACACAATAAACCTGCATAGAATTCCAGATCTCAACAAGCAAAAGTGAGTCACAAGATCGGGCGAAATGATTACTAAACATAATTGACAATAGAAAATTCTAAACAAACTTTTACAAAAGAAATTCTAAAAAAAACTATTATATTCCACTATTTTTTATTGTTTTTATTATAGCAATATTCTATCGGACTAAAGAATTAATTCCTAAATAAACAAAAACTAACAAGTTTTATTGGTTTTTATAATTCCTTATCATGAAAAAGAAAAAATTAAATTCTAAATCTAACAAAAGAAAATAACAAGCTCAGGGGGGTGTCATCTGCAGCTAGTGATATAATTCAGCAGTTCGGCATGTGATGCTAAGCCCAGTTTGAATGAGTCTAATAAGTTTTTGTACAATCCTCATGCTCTTAAAAATTCACCTTGGGCCAAGAAGAGAGTCAATGACCCGGTCCACCATGGATCCAATTGTCAATAATCATGCTGTAGAGTAATAAGAATCAAAGAGGCAAAATTAGGGTAAAGGAAAGATTTAGGGTCAGAATTGTGCCGCATCACCTTCCTCAACCCACACGATCCTCTCTTTGCTCATAGGAGAAAATGGCGCCGCGCTTCTTTTTTCGATCCAACTCAAACTTCTCTGTCAATAATCGCTTGTCCTCTTCTCAGATCAACTCAAATCTGTCGCCGTCTGTCTTAATTCCTCTCTTCTCACCAGACTCATCTCTTCTTTTTTTCACAAGCTCTGCTTTAGTCACGATTTTGTCTCAAATTACATCTCCAACGCCATGCTTCAACGAATCCGCGATCTCGCATTCGTCGCCGTGACTCTCATCAGCGATCCACCTCTTGAGTTGTAGAAGGATCAAGACTAAAGAAGGCCAGATAAAGCTATCTCTATAAGGTGCAGAATAAATGCGAGATCAACGGAAGAACGATGATTCAGGTAACATCTCTTCTTTACAATTCTGGCTTCTCTTTGATCTTTCTAATCCTTCATCTTTTTTTTTTTATTTCTGTGTTTCTTCTGAATTTGCACGATGTGTTCTGATTGTTGTTCTTCGTGATTAACTGTTGAAGATGATAATGTGTGATTTGTTGAAGTTTGCAGTGGAATGAAGGCGCAATGATGAAGATGATTGTGGTAATGAATCTTGCAGATTCGTTGATAATGAAGAAGGATGTTTCCCTGTTACCAATAGCTCTCTCGGCGAAGATGATGATGCGAGTGCTGCGGAGACAGTTACGATATTGATGAAGCAGATGATGATGATCTGCGGAGAAGAACCAGATGGAAATTCAAAACCAGCTTCTACCGCTTGATGAAGATGAAGATGAGATCATAAGAGAGGCGACATTGGTGATTCTTCAGAGAAGAATTGGAGAATGAAGATGAAGATGAAGGTGAGAGAAGCGGGAAGAATCTTTCTCGGCGATTCTTCAGGGTGCTGAAGAATGAATCGCCTTTTTCTAAGATTTTCGGTTATACCTTTTATATAGACTGTTGGAGTGTGAAAAATTCAGTTAGGGACAGTTGAATCTGAGTCGCTGATTTTTGACAGTTCTATTATGGATTGAACGGCCAGATCTATATCTGAGATTCCAGCTATTCTTAGTTATTTTTCTCTTTTTCTGCTTTCTGATATTTTCTTTTATATCTTTTCCTGATGTTCCTTCTGTTTGATTATTTCTGGTATGCTATTGACCACTGATGGAAGAGCCACAAGGCAAAATGACGAAGACGATTTTCTTTCAGAATGGAAAGCGGCAATGCTGTAACGAGTAAAGATGAGACAATGACAAGTCCCTTCCGATCGCCTCCAGCATGACCTCCGACAATTGACATTTTCTACAGTCATTAGGTATGATTAGTGTTACTTAATTTGAGAAGCCCATTAACACAGGGCAGAAGCTAGTCCAGATAGCACTGAAGCAATTTACTATAGGAACTATTCCATTGAATAAAACTCAATCAACATTATTACTAGTAGAATCTTTGTTATGAACCTGAGCTTTTGATTTCTACTAGCAATTTGTTCTTTTGATATTTTCCTGTGGACTCAATTATGGTGATGTTGTTGACGATCGCCGTTTTTTCTTGCACGGGTTTTGCAGGTGGTAACCTTTAAGCTATTAAAGTGGTGATGACATGTTTCCTTTAAGGCATACGTGATAGCTCGTGGCTGTTTGAAATTTCCTCTGCAATGTGAACATGGACTCTTATGACAGATGCAAACAGATTTTGTAAGTTATGCGATCCTGGTAAGGTGCTTAATTCAGCAAGAAGACGGGCAGTTTGATGTCGATTGGAACATGGGGCATGATTAAAATTAGGATAGACTTCATTAGGTTTAAGTTTTTTTTTGTAACTTCGAATGAACTTGAACATATCTTGTAATTTGAACTAAGCCATGGACAAGTATGGAATTTATACAGTTTTTGAATGTAGTTTGAACAAAAGTAGTGTATGAGATTTTGAAATTGAAAGGACTTGATAAATTTGTAAATGAGCGAACTCATTGGAATTTTGATTGAATATAGAATGAAGAGGTTTTGAAATGGTTAATGAAACTTTGAACTGTAATTGGATGAAGAACTTTGCCGAAAATTTTGACTAGACGATTGGAACTTGAATCTTGAAATTGAAAGTGATTTCGAGCCTTGACTAATTGTTCAAAAAGTTGTATTATTTTGCCTTGGTAGCTTGAATTTCAAGAGATTAACCATGAATGGATCTTCTAATTTACACGCTTGACTAATGCACCTTAAACTTAATTGAAATCAAAAGTCCAAGTTAACTTGTGAAGAAATCCACATGAACTTTCTTCCAATACTAGCATGAATCACCTCTTGACAAACACGTGCTTGAGAACCTTAAATGATCTTGAGATCATGCCTTATAACCTCTGAATTTACTCATACCTCGCATTGCAGAAAATACTTATGACACTCGCACCTTAAGAAAATTAAATGGATACTTCCCTAATCAAATCCTCAATTCCCCATGAAACTTTAACTTGCATTACAAGTAATAACAACTCGAGAGAACAATAATCCCTTGAGGAATCCTTTGAAGATGAATATGGAACTTGAGACATGGGAGGCATAACTACCCAAATAGCCTTAACATGTAAATCCAATGAATCCCAGTTGATGAGTTAACACGCTTAATTGCCACGCATAAGAACTACAATTTTCTTGAGATGCGTTGTGATGAAAATGGCTTTGTCTCTTACCTTGAGGAAGATATCCTTGTAGCTTGATAAGGAAGAGATCCACAATAACCATCAATCAAAACCCTAAATTCATAATTCAATGTACAAAGAAGAACCATAAGAATCAGTCTTGTTTGATAAACACCTCGAACCAAAAGAGAACCCGAGCTTCACAACCAATGATTCTCTGGACCATGATTCAACAAAACCTGAATTGGTTAATTGAAGAGTGGATGAATGCCATGTCATAGTCATTAAGCCTGATCGAATGATAAGCACACTTATATGAGGAGATGTCTTGATTCAAAGACCATGTATGCTAAGTCACGCCCTTGAGTTCTTGATAAAAAAACATGTAACCTGTTGTTTATCAGAAGATAATAGCCTTGTTGCTTGAGGGATAAGAAGTCTAAAAATGAGAATGAACCAAAACCCTAATTCCACAGCTCGCTTCCTGAATAAGAAATCATCCTTTATCAGACACGAACTCCTTAACCACTGTGAAACCCTAATATCGCACAAACACTGAACTTTGAACCTCAAGCACTTTGTTGAATGCAGTGCATGCTATGTTAGCGACCTAATGAAATATATGCGAATGAATGCGAAGGTCTAAGCCAAATAAAAGAAATTAGGAGGGAAAATTTTGGGGTGCAACAAAATGCAAGGTAAGAACAGCGTGTTGTTGTAAGCAGAACAACTAGGATCAGAAGTTCTAAAGCCAAAAGCGTTGTGACTCAGCAGGAGACGTCCGTGGGATCAGAAGTTCTGGACTGGTAAACTCTGAGGTCCTGCAAGAAACGTCAGAGGGAAAGGGAACAAAGGTTCTGGATTGATACACTCTGAAGTCCTGCAAAAAACGTTAGAAGGAAAACACAGAGGTTCTGGGTGGTGTTCAACCAGTGAACCAAAAGTCAGAAGTTCTGTATTACACTAAAATATTGAGCAAACGTCATTAGTTCAGTACATTTCCAGCATGTGAAAGTCATAAACTCTGAGTGTTTGAAAACAGCTGATGGAAACATCAGAAGTTCAGTGTATTTTACATGTGAGGAGAACTCAGAAGTTTTGTGTTGTGTTAGAACAGTGAGTCAATCTTAGAAGTTCTGCGTGCTAAAATGGTGAGTGAAAAAACAGAAGTTCTGTGTTACGTTTTAACTCTTAATCAGCACATCAGTAATTTATTCAATTCAGCAAATCAGAATGATCACAGCATAACAAATCATAGAAGTTCCAATCCTAAGTCTGAGCCTAGCATTATTCTAGAAGTTCCGATCCATAGTTTTTCAGTTCATGCAATGATATGTGCAACATTAATACTATGATATTTACATGCTAATGATGTTCAGAATAAAGAACAAGTAAAGTCAGAAAGACTTACCTGGAGCGTGCTTGGAGCTTTGAGTGGTTGCCTTTGGATATTCTGAGTCAGCAAGAGAGACGGAAGAGTGGTTGTGTTCTTTGGTTCAAAGGGAAGAACAAAGGTTTGTTTTTGTGTATGAGAAATCTGGATTTTTATGAAGGTTTTACAGCTTTGTTTTCTCTCATTTTTACTAACCTCTCTCCAAAAGCCAGCCCCTTGAACGTGTGATGAAGCCAAGTATTTATAGATGAATTTTCTGTGATTTTTGGGGGAAAACAAATGGGATTTGAACCTGTTTTGGCATCTTGTTCCTTTGCTTTTTTAATCACAGTTTTCGTATGCCAGTTTGGTGCAATCTTGGGATGCAGGCGTAGGCTGAACCAGCTGTTGGTCATAGGTCTACAGCAGGTTGTATAAACAAGGTTTTGGGATTTGGTCAAGTTCTGCCCAAAGCGTTGAATATAGCCTTCATGTGTTGAAGCGCTGCCTTGTTTTTGAAGAAAACATGGTGGTTGTCAGCAGGAATTAAGGAAAAGCAAAAAGCAAAGCATGGGCTTAGTAGCAAAGTTGCTATCCCAAGACAGTAGAGGTACACGTGGCGAAAATCCTTTGGATAAAGACTCAGAATGTAGTTGTGAGCATTAAGTGAGAATTAAATGATGATGAGACTTATCACAACCAGAAATCCTGCAACGTGAAACTCTACACCAAGGCTTAGTTCTGGATCAGAAGTTCTGCTTCAGCGTAGCATCCCATCTTCTGGTCCTCTTATCTTTTGGCTCCAGCATGTTCTGAAGGAGCTTTCATACTTTCTAGAAAGCTTGCAGTACGCTCCTTAACCTTCTTTGAATTAACCTTGCAAACTCTGATTGAACTTGCGTAGATGCTGAAGAGCCATGTTCTGACTGAAGACTATGTGCTGAACCATGTTTACAACTTCTGACTGCACCTGCCTAGAGGCTGGCTCAGAAGTTCCGAAGTGTCATTTTTCTTAAATACTTAGAAAAAATCCCAAGTATTTAGAAATTTGGTTTTTCCATAGTAAATTTGACTTTTGAACTTTTTGATGATACAAACTTCATATTCCAACATGTCTTGATGAAATATAATTTTTTTTGAGACTTGATTTTGATCCAAAAGTCAAAGTTTGACTTTTCTGTGTGCCAATGATCATTTTGCCCTTGGGAGTGATTTGATTGGAAAAAAAATGATAATTAAAGGCTTGGAATTGGATGGAAGCGAACTTGAGGATCCTAGGGTGATTCCTTGAGGGAAAATTTTGGGGTACAACAGGTGGGTTAGAGATGGAGAGAGACGAAGGAAAAGAAAAATGAAGAATTTGGAAGGGAAATGAATATATAAGGCCTCCGTCTCTCCATTGGCGCATCTTACCTTGCTCCCTCAGTCAACTTTAGATCATGGTCATATGTTTGTCATTCTCCAGATTATTGTCTTAGATTTAACTTCTGATGGCCACATGATCTGCATCAAATGTTTCAAACCCTGCATTACACTGTAACTCTCTGATCTCACCCACATAATGACCAAACGGACCCCAAATATGTTATGGACCAAACCCAATACTTCATACACCCCCCAGTTTACTTCCTCAATATAATTCACACTTTTTTGTGCAATTGGGCCTCAAACGAATTTCAGGGCTTTAGCCCTTACTATTAGCACACCCCTTAATTGCTAGTTTAAATAATTTAACCCCCTTTTTTTATTTTATTTAATTTATTTATTTAATCTATTTAATTTAATTATTCATATATTTATTTACACATTTAATTATTGTACACATTTATTTTCTCTATATCATTTTATCATCATTTTCATTAAAAATAATTTTTCTTATCATTATTGAAAATATATAATTTATTTTGATAAATGAATAATTATATTTTTAATAAGTATGAACTATTTTCTAAAATACTATTTTTTTATTTATTAAACTTTTTTTTTTACTATTTTCAAAAATCATTCAAACCTATTTTCATGATTGCATTATGCATTCAATATAACTAATCTATCAAACTTAATACTTTTTTACTAACATAATTTCAAATTTAATATTATTTCAAAAAAGGATTGTGGATTTGTTTTCAATATTAGCTGCGAACTATGTCTACGATTGCGCTATTTTTAAATCCGGACAAGATTCAAGGATAACTCAAAAGCATTTACACAATTCATAAAAAAAACTAACAAAACACATACGAACTACGAATTTTGACTCTGATTCTTCGCAATGAGATACGTAGGCACGCGGTTAAAATCATGGTGAATCCCTTAACTAAAAAAATAAACATTTTATCACATACATAAAAATAATACAGGTAAATAGAAAATTCTCGATCTATCCTTTCGATCTAAAATAGGATATCCTTTGAAAGCAATGGAGATGAAGGGTGTCTAACATCTTCCCTTTATATAACCAACTCGCGAACTTATAATCTCTAACAATTAGAATTACACATGGTTCTCTCGTCCTTAGGACAAAATTGATGGTGATGACTCGTATTTTTTTGTCGGTTACGATAATTGTAACATGACAATGGTTGAGATGGTGAAGTTTGAACAACCATGTATCATTCATCTCGCATATTGATTTTGAAATAGAATGTGCTAGTAATATGAAGTTATGTATTTTGTTTAACTATTTGGTTCAGATTGTTAAGTGGTTGAAATTATTATTCTGTATGTTTAGATGGAAAGAGTGTAATTTTCATTTACATTAAATTAATGGTAAGAGTTAAAGGGAAAAAGCAAGACAATATTGATGATGATATTGTGAGAACAGTATATTGTGTAATATTATAAAAGTAATGTGGAATATGTTGTATTGTGAAGAGATAATTTCAAATAATGCAAACAATGAGTTTAAATCCATCAAAGTAGCTATAGTCACTCCAACAAGTTGGTAAGTACAACTTTATAGTTTGTGTGTAAATATTACAAAGTAGTATTAAA